GCGTTGTAATATTATTGATATTATATGTAGATAACATATTAAAAGGAAACGACATCCCTATGTTTCAATCGTTGAAATTGTGGTTGTCAAATAATATCTCAATGAAAGATATGGGAGAAGCAACTTGATCTATATAGATAGATCTAGAAGATTGCTTAAGTGATCCCAATCTACATAGATAAAATGTTGAGAAGATGAACTGAAAGTTCATAGATACATTGATACTAACTTCTAGTCAGACTAAAATGATAGCAAATCTCAATTAGGATATTGGTTTACTTTTAAGCGGTATGTTGGAAAGGTTCTAAACATGAAAAAATTGTTGATTCAATAGCAGAAGACTCATACATTATTGTTTTAGAAGCAACAAATATTGTAGTTTGGATCAGGAAGTTCAGTAATGAACTTGGATTAGTTCCTAACATTGTTGATTACATACTTTTGTATTGTGATAATAATAGAGCCATCGTGCAAGTTAAGGAACTAATATCACATCAATGATCCAAGCATGTGTTAAGGCGGTATCATCTCATTGGAAAGATAATACAATGAAATGACTTAAAGAAAGAACAAATTTTCACAAGTTATTAAATTGCAAATACATTGACAAAGAGTTGTCACGGTATAAACATGATGTCATGTAGACTCTTATGATATTAGATACATAAGTGATTGGATTTAGTGTAAGTGGGAGTATGCAAATGGTATACCCTAAATTCAATCAACTTTGGACATTGATGCTACCCAAAATTGTACCTGTTGATTTTCGGGTTTAACGACTGAGAACGAGCACGGACAAGATCTTCTGGTACCTGAAACAAAGGTGTTGAGGTGTGTCCTCATTGTCCCTCCGAAGCTTAAGTCAGAAAGAGAATTCATGAAAAATGTATGCTGAAAATTATTTTAGAAACGTACCTAGATAAGAATTGGAGTGATGTATTTATAGAGATAGATAGTACATTCTTGGTAGGATTATGTTGTTGAAATCCGTAGGAGTTCTACCAAGCTTAGAAGTTGGAACTTGATTGGTATTGTACCATTAATGTGTTTGCATAGAGATAAAACTCTAGTGGTAGAATCTTTCCAGGAAGACGTAGCATATTTTAAACGGGATTCAAACTCCTAGAATGGGATAAGCCTTATCATATAGGAGAGTCCTAATAGATTAGGGATTTCTAGGCACCTACAAGGTTAACCCATAACCTCGAGGAAGGCTCAAGCTAATGGGGGATGCTTTTTCTCGAGCAGTTACCCTGACAATATCTAGTTGGTGGTGGTGTTGCCTTATGTGACCAAGGAGCCACGTGACCGAGGACGTTAACGCGAAAACTGGTGGGATGGATGTCATTACTCCTTGGGGATACATGCTCGGGTCATGTCGATTTTGGGATCATCAAACATAAACAATTTAAATATATAATTGATGCAATTTTATGACAGATTTATTATTTAATTTAATTAAATAATAGAGTTTGTAGATTCAAATTTTAATATTTTGTTATTCACAAGGAGTTGTGATTGTGAGATAAAAATTACATATAAATGAATCTTAAATCACCATGCTCATAAGTAATAACGAGATACGAATATCGTTATTACAGATAGACCATCACATGTTACATTTCTTACTTGTGGAGTAAATAACTGATTTCACAAGTTAAAGGTGGTCAAACTTAAATGAACACATGATGTTTTGTTAAAGAACAAAACATTGAAAACTTGTTGGAGATGTTCTACATGGATAACTATCCGAGTGTCAGTAGTTAATTTCTAACGTTCGGTAGTGGAATTGGTCATTTGACTTACTTTGGTGATATTGGATGTTGCTCTACCAAGGATCGATAATACGACATTGTTCGAGCATGTTAAAAATCATATGAAGGCTGTAAATGATCAATAGATGATTCGTCACTTTTAGATAGTNGTTCAGATGTGTTATCTTCAGATCTTAATGTTCGTTAATATGGTAGCGTTCAGATATGTCAATAATCATATGAAAGTTGTTAATGATAAATAGATGATTCGTCACTTTTAGATAGTATGAGATTACGATCTACATTTCATTCAATTAGGTTGATAACAAAATCGTTAGCCAAAATGTACTCATAAGTCGAATTCATCGACTTAATAGTGGGGATGAAAGATATTATTGATAATTGAGATTGACACATATTCATATCTCATAATTGATCGAATCATATTGATGAAAAGATTATAGTTTTATGTTAAACACAAATTTGATTTTGTCATACCACGTGACATAAGACATTGCTCGTCACATGTATTGCTCGACACATTGCTAAATGTCAATTTGGGACGACGGATGTTAATTGATGATAAATAAAAAATGGATATTTTAATTTATTGATTTTAATTAGATCAAATAATAATTCACGTCGTTACGTATCGTGATTGGGAACCTAATGAGTCAGACACAAAAGGAGAACTAGAAAAATTAGATTCATCAATTAATTAATTAACTAGTGTTTGACAATTAATTAATTGANGTCACACACAAAAGAGAACCAGAAGAATGAAATTTACCAATTAATTAGTTGACAAGTGGTTGACAATTAATTAATTGAGTTGCTTGTTAATATACTTGGATTAATTAATTCATGGACTAAATTTAATTAATTTGATTAATTAATTATTGGATTTAGTTAAGTTTAAGAGATGTGTCAAACTCACTTGAACTTATATTAATAAGTTATTAGGGTTTCAGAAATATCATAATACAATTCATTATCTTGCTAGCACAAGAAAAGAGAAATCATAATTCTTTGATTCTTGTTCCTTGTGTGGATTTTCATCGAAAACTGGATATTTGGACAGTTGTGGATTGCAGATCATGATTGACCGTGTTTCAAAATCAGTAAAAGAATATGCAGAATTTACAAAAGATATAATTCCCATCACTGTTTTATTTCTAAACACAAAGAAGATCTTTGATAAAAATTTAAATTATTTTATTTTCTGCCGTATATGATTAAGTAAATTCCCAACACTCCAAACTATAATAATGCTCAATACGAGAACATTTTGAAAGAAAATATATAATGTGCACAGAAATAGTGCAAATTACTATTATGCAGTGGAAGCAGGAATAACCACAGATACAACAGTGGACAAAAAATTGATTCTCGATATATATTTTAATTTCAGTGCCAATAATGACTTGCGAGATGTAAGATATACAATATTCGTGTTGAAAATATCAAATTTAGATTAGCTTCGAATTCCTTTAGAGGTTAAAGTCTAAAAGTTATTAGATTTTGGGACCAAGTTAATACTTTGGATTTCTGAAGAGCATTGTGATTATTTCAGCTTTCTCAACTGAAAGGTCAGCGTTCTACAAAATGTATTCTTTCGATGCTTTGGCTATTGCTTCGATTAGTATGAGGGGCAGTAGGGTCAGTTGCAACCACACTAAATTTCAAACCCAAGATTTTGTACAAGATTTTCAAAAAATTCCTAACCCAACAATTAAAATTTTGTGAAATTTGCCCTCACAACTCTATAAT